ATATTAAATACGAGAAGGAGATTACAGTTATTTCTTAAAAGAAAACATCACCCCGATTATTGAGTACAATAATAACAAAAATAACACTTATACTTAGACTTACATTTAAGTTAACCTACCCGCAACCTAGTACCCATAATAATAATGAGTTTAACTAGGTATTCAATACATTTATATTAGTTTGCCTATATTTATTATAATATATATTTATTTTAGTAACATTTATTTATGTCAATAATATTATTTTACATGATTTATATTGGCTTACATTCACCATATTCATAATCTAAGATGTAAATTATATTTTTATTAGGTAGTACGTATATTATTTTATTCAGCACATTGCACGGTTATTTTGCGGCTTACTTTTATTGCTACTGGGATACAAGAAAACAATATGTATGTTTATTTTTTTTTAAATAGCAGTTATATATGGTTAATTTGCTTCTGCTCGCGACTTCGTACTATTTTTTCTGTCTTAAGAACCTTCCAATAATAACAAATACAACAAAAAAAGAATTAGTGACATCGGTCCAGCCATTCACGTGTGATGCCGTGACCATGGGAAAAATGGATTTATTTATATATATTTTATATAGAGGTTAATTTCCAAACTATTATAAACTAAATTCTATAAAACTTAGTTTTTCCTTCGTGTGGTGATGGTGGTAGATATTTAACAAATTTTTGATTCATTTGTTAGTTTCGTTGAATTAATTTAGCTTGTGTTGTCTTCGACGTAAATAATAACGACATAAAGCGCATATACGCCCCCACATACCGATTAACAATAACACTTGTCGTGTAGAATAATTAAGTTAGGGTAAGACGTGGATGACTCGAGTCTACAATTTACTATCAAATCTCTAAGACATTCGCAATCCTCACCTGCGCATACGCAACTACACACCATTTCATTTCAAAGCCTAACAACAAGTGTGAAGATAAATTACTACAAGAAAAAGTAATAATTACAAAAAATAAATTACCTACATTACTATATAAATGACATATTCATCATAGTTTAACGAATGTGGCATCTTATTTTTTCCAGTGGAGTACCTGTTGTCAGGCTATTCTTTCCTGCCTGGCAACAGGTACCCTGCCGTAACTGCCGTATGTCGCGGCTTTTATACCATTTTTCCGGCGCCAGTGGAGACAACTGGTGAAAATTGGAACTAAATGGAAAACGGGATGCTGCGTTCCTGTATCATTCCTGTTTTCCTTGGGAAGTCACATGAACTTAAAGTAGATGGCGTTGTTACACATCCTTACGTTAGTGATTAAGCGTATACATATTTATTTATTTTCAGGGACTACATTATAACAGAAGTGGCCTAATAAACCAGAACCTTTCTCTATACCGCATGTTCAGCGCAGAGATCAATTGGGGGCAAATTTTAAGTTTTTGGAGAATCATTCTTCGGCACGAATGGGTCGGCTCGACGGGAGTGAGCCTCGTAGAAAACCGACGTGAAACAACAATTGCGTCGTATTGCGTAGCGTAAGTGAGGTTACCGGAGGACCAATTACACCCCCTCTCCAAATCTGATCACCAATCTAATCTCCAAAAGGCCGGTAGCCCATTTGTACCTCTTGTTTTGGGCGTCCATGGGCAGCGCCGATTGCATCTGTATGGTAAAAAAATCTTACTTAAATAAACTTAATGAGAACTATCAGCAGCGGACACTATTGGACTGTAACGAGTGTCACGGGCCATAGATGTGGTTTGTGTTTTATCTGATGAAAAGTGGTATTCTAAACGCACAACTTTGACTACACCCTCGAAGAACAGTAAAAGTAATTTCATGTTCTGATGTTCCATGATTATGAGTAACATAATTGACATTATTTATCTTTTATTTATCTTTTATGATCTTTATGACCTTGATCAGCAATTATGACATTTCTATATTCTGAACTGGAATTTTCCTTTAATAAATGCATTATAATATTATTATTTATTTATTTATTTATTTATTATTACAGTCACAACGGTTGAGAACAAAAACCAATTAAAGTAACTGGACACATTAATAAAATTAACAATCAAACAATAAAACTGGAACAAAACATATACAATGAACCAGAAGAGTAAAACTTATTTAAAAAAAAAAAAAAAAAAGGTACCATTCATAAGTTCCTCTCGCAGTACTTCAGGCATTCCGATAAAATCTCCTTCCATCCGTCCGCAAACAGATCACTAGTTGGATTGGAATCCAAGAGACCATTGAGCGCGGCCAGAGTGCGAGGAATCGGTGCTTTAGCACGTGCTACGGTACGACATGAGGGTACGGCAAACAATCTGTGCTTTTTACCCCGGCAGTAATTGTCTGGAACGTAAAAACGTGATAGTGACTCCAGTATGTCTGGAGCGTCAATAGCGCCACGGAGGGTTTTACAGGCTACTACAAGTTGGTTTCTTGCTCTCCTTACCTCTAGTGAGTTATATCCAAGACTACCCAATAAAAATTTTGTCGGATAGAGGTAGGGATAGTAACCGTGCATTCGCTTGTACAAATTCCTAAGGAAAGCTTTTTGAACTTTCTCTAAGAGTAGGGCGTAGGTACTTTCGTGAGGATTCCATACACACGAGCTGGTTTCCAACTTACTACGAACCAGAGCATTAAATATGATCTTAATGGCATGAGCGGTGCGAAAATCACGACAATTACGCAATACAAAACCTAACCTTTGGAAGGATTGCTTTGCTATAGTGGTTATATGGTCATGGAAAGTAAGTTTTTGGTCAAATGTGACTCCCAGGTCTTTCATGACTGTCGACTTTGTAATACTGCAATTATTTAAACTGTAATCGAAGTTGATTGGGTTCCGCTTTCGACAAAATGTCATAGCATAGCACTTGGATGAGTTAAACTCCATCTTATTATCCACGCTCCACTTGTATACTGCATCAATATCTTGCTGAAGTGCCAAGCTATCACGCTCAGAGTTTATTTCTAAGTATAGTTTCAGATCATCCGCATATAAGAGGCACTTTGCATGGAGTAGAATTTGAGGAAGATCATTGACCATGATAAGAAACAGCAAAGGCCCCAAAATCGAGCCCTGACTTACACCAGAACGCGTATGATAGGCATTCGACACGTACATACCAAGTTTGACAAACTGTTTTCGATCGCGTAGATAGTCTGCAAAGAAATGTAAGAGAGATGGGGAAAACCCTATTTTATTAAGCTTCTCTAGCAGTGTGTCGTTATTTATTCTATCAAAGGCCTTCCGGAAGTCAAAGTAAAGTACATCTACCTGACGTCCCCGATCCAAACTAAATGAGATGTAGTCCACTAAAGTTAGGAGATTTGTATCGACTGACCTCTTGCTCCTAAAACCGTGCTGCTCGTTACAGAGATACTTGTTTACTTGTTCATAAACAATATTATGAAGGATGTTCTCAAAGACTTTTGCTGGAGTAGACAGGATTGCGAGGGCGATATTCCTCAACAGAGCCCCTGTTTTGAGTTTTTGGAATAGGCGTAACCCTGGAAATTTTCCATTCGGTGGGATATATACCGGTCTGTAAAGCTAAATTAAAAATATGAAGCAGAGGATCAATGAAAATATTTCTTAGGTCTTTGACTATCTTGGGGGGGATGTTGTCAGGTCCAACAGAACTATGAAGTTTAAGTCTATTTATTCCCTTAATAATATCCGAACGGCGCAGAGGGGCTATATTTATATAATTACTGTTATTAGAATAATCTGATGTAATGGCAAGATCGGCATTGAGCCGCGGAACTTCAGGTAGGAAAACAGTTGAAAAGAACTCAGCGAAGGCTTCAGCCGCTCTGGCACCTGAAAAAGTTTGACCCTTGTATGCAATATTCGGTTCAAATCCACCTTTAGAACGCAAACAAGAAATATGTGACCAAAACTGACGAGGATTGTGTTTAATCTTGTTCTCCAGATTTGTCATATATATGGAATACGCCTCTGCAATTCTAGTTTTGAGCCTTGATCTGAGATTAGAGAATTCTGAATATGATGTTTGAGATCTGGTTAGTTTCCAATTACTATGGAGTTTCAACTTGACCTTGAGATCCTGTATTATATCTGTTGTGAACCATATGGGATAACGCCTATTTGTTGACTTCCCTCTGCGTTTTTTAGGCACGCAAATGTCAAAAAGATCATAAACAATGCCATAAAACTTGAAAGTAGCTTCTTTAACATCCTTAGTTGCCAAAACCTTATCCCAAATATTTTGTTTAGAGAACAATGAATACAAATGCTCGAAATCACATTTACCGAAGTTCCAATCTCTGAGATTGTCTAAATTACTGGGCTCAATTGATTCCGAGTTACGACCCAAAGAGACCCCGACCTCAATGTGTAATGCCGGATGGTATGCATCTAGTGGTACTATCCCCTCCGTTGCAGCAACAAATACATCTGGTGTGCCAATGGTCTCTCGAACCAAAACAACATCTAACATTCCTCCATACAAATTCTTCACAACATTCATCTCATTCAGACTACAAAATGACAAAAAATAACAATAATAGTTTTTAATACTTAGAGACACGCTATTTAAATTTATGTCTCCTAAAATTATAACTAAACCCTTTAAAGTATTTATAAATTCTTCTACTTTACAAAACCATTTCATGTACTCATCATCACTGGCACTAGGTTTAATATAAACAACACATACGTGAACAATACGGCCGCACCATGTAAAGTCCGCCCACATGTCCTCACCACTGTCAGTTTCGAGATCACGTCGACGGCGCAGCGCGATGGGTGCGCGAGCGGCGAGCATCACTCCACCGCACGGAGTTTCACGGTCACGTCGCATGATGCTCCAATCACTTATGGAAAGCTCTCCGTCTTCGATAGAAGCATCGAGAAAGCTTTCTGTTACGGCAACTAAGTTATGTTCTAGCTGTACCAAGTTCGTCCTCCACGTCGATAATTTGGTTTTGAGACCACGGACATTTTGATACAGCATATTAATGCTCTTACGATTGCTATGGGGCTGTTTAGGCACGAAATGTCCGGGGTGATGGTCGATCCCCTGCAGATACTTGGCTTCTGATACGTCTCGGGTTGTCAATCCACGCCTTTATTCTGGCGTTAACTGGCCACACATCAACCGAAAAGCATTTTTCATAATGAACAATAGGCACACCTATCTTGAAAGATTTGTAACTTCCCCTGGTCCGCAGTTCTTCGACTGTGCATGTACCAGTAGGGCACAGATGTTGAAGGTAATCGCGAATCTCGTTTGCGCTGGACTCCATATTCCATAGGTGCATATATTTACGCGGTTCAACTGCTCTTAATGTAGTGATATCGGGCCCAGCGATACCGCAGAGTGATGGGGATTGCCGGGGTTTATTTTTCCTAACTTCTGTCCAGTTTTGGTCAGAGATAGTGCCGGTGCGTCTATCGGTATCGGTAGCAATGTGGTTATAAGCAGCAGCGGGATCATCAGTAGAGGTGAAGGCGCGGTCGTCAGCGGCAGGTGAATTATGGATATTGACCGTAGAAAGGTGGTCATTGGCTTTAGTTTCAACCGGTCGGTTAGGGTAATTTGAAGTGGAATTGAGTGTTTTTGGGTTAGCCTTCTTCGATTTGGGTTTTTTCTTCTTGGATCTTTGTGCAGCCCCTACTGCTGTAGGAGTCTCTAATGGCGGGGGTGCAGGGTTGAGTTGATGTTGCTGTTGAGTGGGTACGACGACAATTGAGTGGCTATCACGAACGCAGACTGGTTTTTGCTGGCCAACATTAACTGATGACGGACTGTAATGTTTTAATTGGGTATTAAGGAGGTCAATTTGAGAAGAATACCCGGTTAGCTTACTTTCGTGGTTAGTAATAATAGCTACAGCTTTACTAAGTTGCTCTTTCAGTATTTCCATTTCAAGCCGTAATTTGCTCATTTCGAATGTTAGTTCTTGAAATTCTACTTGGTTTTGAACGTTTTGAATAACCTGAATTTTTTTCCTGAACGTAATATTCATATCGCTATCTTGGGTTAAAGAAATATTGTCATCATTGGCTTTCCCTTCAACATGGCAGACACATTCCGGGCAGATCCAGGTGGTTAACTCATCCTTAGCTACGACGGTTTTGCCTGAGCATTGGATGTGATATTTTAGTTGACATTTGTCCAATGAACAGCTGAGACATTCTTCCCCGTCAACTATTAAGCTACGACAGGCGACGCAATTTATGTTCGTATCTTGAATTTTTTTTGATATGTTTATACTATTAATAATGGGCGACACAAAACTAGATTGAGTCGATCGGACTGGTGTATTAGAATTGTCAATTTTCGGTTGCTTAAGCATGCATTCAGGGCATTTCCAATTATCTCGATATTCAGTAGTCATCAGTCTACTTTTATTTATGTTAGCACATATGAGATCATATAATTTGAAGCAGGTAAAGCATTGTATATTGTCTTCGCCTTCCAAGGCAGTCAGACACCCCGCGCAGATATTTGTTGACATCGTTATCAAGCAACGGTCACCTCACAGCAAAATTAAAAAATTGGCTAAATGTAAATAAAGCGATGTAAGCAGCGTGCGCAGCGGAATGCGTTTAGTTGTACAGTAAGCATGCAGCGATGAAAGCGCTTAGTAGACACACAGCGTCCGCTCAAAGATGTTCGCGGAAAGAACGTCCTAAGCGCCGTGGATATCGCGTCGCTTACGCGTTTGCACCAGATCACTTCACGGTTCACCAAACACTTGTCTAATTTGAAAATTGGATTTTGTTTATTGTTATTTATGTTGTTAAATGGATGAATTAGCACTGGTTGTTTCAACTGTATGTCTATTTGGGCTTTAAGAATAGATATTGCACAAAATTAACTTCTGAAATTTACTTTAAACTAAGTTTTTGATTATTGTTTTGCGAGCGAACGATAACGGACCGTTCGTTTCGAATGCGCGTCGGACTGGTGCCATTATGACAAGCCAACTTTTAAAAGAATTGAAAAATTTACAATTTCTGTAAAGAAACAACATATTGACTAAGCTATACGCTTTAGTTTTTAAAAAGTCATAATACTTATAGAAGTTCAGGCTTAGCACGATCCAGAAATCCAACCGAAGAGCCCTTCTACTTTGATAATCGCTACTGTTTGTAAACCCGGCAATATCGTCGGAAAATTGGGTAAATAACAGCCCCTTTCGATTGCGGTGGGCGAAAAAAAAACACAAAACAAATGACATGTTAGTAACATCATCCAAATATTTTTATAGAAAGAAGTCGTTAGATGGGAAGTAGCACGTTGCGGGGGAAGAACGCTCTGCTTAGAAGTTTTGGGGATAATTTCTTTTACGTTTTGCTGTTACATATTTAACCCTACACTAGACGATTTTTACTACTGCTGAAATACTTATTTTCCATTCCGTTGATTGATACATAACACAATGATCTGTGACCTACTTTATCTGAAGCTCTTACAGCTAAAAATTTTCCTCAGTTTGCTAAAAAGTTTCACAAACTCTCGTAAGATGGCGCTATACTAAACTTCAATGTAAACCTTGTAAACATGTTGTTAAATCTTCAATACCAAGAATAAAGTGATTTAAATGGAAATCTAATCTTTCTTTCTTTTATACAGATAAAATTAAGTGTTGTTGTGAAGATGTGTCACTTATACTGTCATTGATATCTTTTTATTTATAAATAAGGTCAATTTGTTAAGGCCTAAAGTGTGTTACGTAATTTACCATTTAATGAAAAGCTAAAAAAGGCTATTCATTTTTTATTCAACATTTTATATATAATTTTAGCATTGTAGGCGATACTGGATGGGGTGCGTAATATTTATGTTTTGTTTCAAACTCTGATTACATTAATAATGATTACACCAAAATATGCGAATAATAATGATACGAATAAGCAAAATTGCACTTAAGATGAGTTTAATATTTTTTAAATGAATCAGCCATAACAAAACACATAATTTAAGTACAACCAATGTAATGTCGGACAAGAAGCTCAAGTCACTGACTTTAATATAAGGACAGTTTCCACAATTGAATGACACGAAGCCTTTGAAAAGTTTTGTCCACTGAAAGGGGCGCTACACGCATGCCTACACAAGAGGAGGTGTGGGGCCGCCCATTCGCAACACACTCACCGCGATGACCATAATAACTGCGGCCGCGCTCTGTCGCCTATCCGAACGCACGCAACTTTTTTAAAAAAACTTTGTAAGAAAAGTATTTAACCTCCGCGCATCAGTGACCTATTTTGTGATTTCGCGGTAAGTTTTGTTGTTTGATTTATCTGTGACCATTTATTTTCGTATTTGTTATAAGTTTTTGTTGTTGTTGTGAAAATAATATGTAAATTAGTGTTGAATATTATTTGGAAATTACATCTTTTGCGTAAGTATCAAGCCTTGAATTTGAATCATTCGTAGTGGCAAAATCCGTGTAATTAAAATTACTGAAATGCGTCAGCGTATTAAAGTAGTACCAATAAAATTTGTCTTATCTTGATATACTTTCAACAATATAAGTGTGTGCCTAAGTCTAGTTGTCAAGTTGTTATATTAATATAATCATCATATTTTAAATAAAAAATAAATAAATCTTAGATTGTTGTAATAGGCTTGTGTTTATTTTCATCAGGATCAGTTTTCTTTTGTTACGTTGTTTTGACATCATTTTCACCAAGATACTATTATTCTAAAATGATTTCATATTTGTAAATTTATTAAGTAAAAATAAGGTTTTACCATCAATTATTTTATAAAGTCTGACAGCTAAACCTTGTGATATATTACAGGACAGTTCAATCAAATTCTATATTAAGATTATTTCATAAAATACTTCTATTATTATCTGCGTTGTAGGGCTGTGTGTACAATATTTAGGCACAAATACAAAATATTATTAAAATAAGTGATGGTTTATTCACACGGTACAATAACTTCGAATAAACATGTGTGTGGCTGTAGGTACATGTTTAGATCGTAATATGTTTCTCTTTTATAGGGTAGGTAGGCTTTGATTCGTAAATCGAGAAATATACTTAACATTTCTGATCCTTTTTATACTACTGATTGATTAAAGTCTTAAATGAAACTGAAGCTTTTGAATATTTTGAAGCAGTATTTCAATTGAAAGAAAGTATTTATTGAAGGGAAATATAGAATGATTCCAGTTCCCAGATCAAAAAATACATTTTTGCGACAATAAGTTACTAATATGTACAGTTACTATTAGGCTTTATTCATTCTCAGTTTATGTGCTAACATTGATTATAAAAACATAATTCTTAACCATTTATATGAAGAATATACTGAAGTTAAAATAATCGGAAAAATCACGAACATTACAATAGACCAGTTTTGTAACTGGACCGGGATATATATATATACCATTACCATTCTTTCTGAATTATAATGTTTGCGTGAATTCTCAAGAATCCGCCTAAAATTTAAGAGTTTAGAATGCATCTACGATACAGGAAAATTTCTATCTGAACACGATATAAAAGAAATGTTTATGGTATATTTGGTAATTTATTGGCTTATATACTATGTTATCTGTCTGTATCTCCAGAGTACCAAGGCGTAATGTTAAGTATTAATCCAATTAAATAATAAATTAAGGTCGAGATTAGACCCTTAGTAGTGGCAACGATTAATGTAGATAAAAGGTGAAAAGGTGTTCGGTCTACTTACTTCCCTTGTTTTTAACCTTCTTTATTAGTAACTAGCCTTTGCCCGCAACTTTGCTTGCACTCTTTTGAAGTGTTTGGGGCAGATTTACAAAAAGAAAGCCCAGGTATGTGTCAGGTATATTTTGAGTACGTATACTCCATAAACTTCCACCCCTACTTTAGAAATGTGAGGGATTAGAAAGAGATAAAAACTAGCCTATGTCACTCTTCATCACTTCAACTATCTCTACTAAAAATTTATGTTAATTTGTCGCACCGTTTTGAAAGACTGTTACACAAACAGACACACACTTTCAAATATACCTCATAATATTAGTATGGATTGTGGGCGCATCGAGGGAGTTCTGTACTTCTATGTATAGAATCATCGGCAATGTCAATTAGCGAAGTACACGATCAATGTCTGACATCACTACACAGAGCAGCGTCAAATTACTGTTATTTCCTATTTTATATGTAAATGACCGCAAAAAATGTTCTGCTGGCTTCGCTGAAGTTTAATAAATAATTCTGTTTATCCTGACTGTGTCGTAGATAAATGGAATCTTAGACAATTTGTTAGAGGGAATATCTTCACGCATAGCGTTTGGAGCAGGCAGGAAAGGCTTTGTTCTTGTCATCGTTGTCACTTCCTAACACTTGTGTTAGGAAGTCACTTTGATTACGATGACCACGGACCCGTCGTTATAGACGTAGGCTGTTTTGGTACATTTATGTTGCTGAATCGATTGTGTACCATTGTTAAAGAGATAGAAACACTTCATAATATTTAAAATATGTCAGCCAAATAAACTTATTTTTTTAAAAAACACTTCTCAGTGAAAACCCAGTGAAAGAAGTTTTGTAATTGCAGCCAACACGTGGGTTTAAAACACGACTGACAAAAATTTATATTTCGTTGTATACCACGAACAAGAAGTTTCTAGAAGCTTGAACCAAATTATTAAGACTTAAGGTTCATAAAGTCCTGAAGTATTCTTTAAAACGGTTGTATGATTATTTAGGTACTTTAAAACAATTATCCGGCAATTTTTAACAAACAAGTTTAGTCGAGGGAAAAATGTATTGCCTGATCCATGGAAAGTTCTTTTATTTCGGTACATACTTTATCAGTTGTGTCACAATAGTTCGTGCAATATTAATAATACTTTAACAGTAACACATAACACACATTTTGTCTTGTAAATTGTAACACATGTATCAACAGCTGCAGAGGGTGAGCCATGCAAAACGAAAATGTCCAAGTAATAAGTTGCCCGACCCGTTTTAGGACCCGAGTACCGTTATTGGAGTGCAGTCGCACTTTTGACGTCTCAATCCACGAGACAATCATAAAACTCATCTACTCTTCAAGTAGATTGCCGAAGAGGAAAAAAGTGCAATAAGTCACGATAATGACCCAATATTTTAGTACAATCCTTTGTACTAATCACCCAATAATTGACAAGCCTAGTATCTCCCTGAACAATCATTCGAATCGTAATCACGAATAACTAGAGTAACTAAACAAAAGCACGCGCTTTTCCTTATCAATGTGACATCGTGATAACAATATGAGACAACATAGCTAGCCCATAGACTGTACTTTATTTCAATACCGACTTTATTCCCTCCGAAATAAGAACTGAATTTGTACTTCGGTTGGGGACTGACCGTACATAGAAGTAAGTAGATTTTGTATAATTGTCATTGTTTGCCGTATCAATGTAATGGAAATTCGTTACAGTAATGGTGTAATAAGCATGCAATGTTAATTTGTCCTTTTACTAATCTTAAATTTTCGCACACATTGCCTAATGTTAGA